AAATCTTTAAAAGCAAAAAAAAAAAAAAATAATACTTAAACATTCAAGATAACAGATGAAGTGAGCTGAAATGGGCATAAATAGGATGGTATGTACTTAGGAATTTCTGGCTAACAAGATCTCCAAGTTAAGATATGCTCTTGATCTTAAAACCTGGGTAAAGGCAGGGCATGGTAGCTCACACTTGTAATCCCAACACCTGGAAAGCCTAGGCTAGAGTATGAACCTGCCACAAAACAAAACCAGACAAAATCCTGAGTAAGATTAAGATTAGCCTAGTTACTAATCCCAAGAAAGAACAAAACTACTATAATAAGAAAAGAAAATTTTTTAAAGAAGGTTTGGCCGGGCAATGGTGGCACATGCCTTTAATCCCAGCACTCCAAAAGGCACAGGCCTTCGGGGCCAGCCTGGTCTACAGAGCAAGTACCTGGACACGCTCCAAAGGTCCAGAGAGACACCGTCTCAGAGGTGGAAGGAAAAAAAAAAGAGTAAATTAAATAAAACCAGTTCACAAAACAAAATAGAGAGACAAAGCTAAAGCCTGGAGAAGAGCTCATAGAGGGCCACTGAATGTCAATGGATCATCAGTCAGGCTCTCCAAAACCGTAACCTTTTTATTTTTGTGTATGAGTGTATTACCCACACAAATATAAGTGCACTACATGTGTACACAGTATACCGAAGACAAAGGAGGGTATCAGATCCCTTGCAACAACTAGATTTAGAGAGAGTTGTAAGCCACCTTGCTAGGATCTAAACCTGGGTCTCCCAAAAGAGAAGCACCTACTGTTAACTTCTGGGCAATCCCTCCAGCCCCCCAAAACACTAACTTTCTTTTAAAGACAGGGGCTCTTTATACAGCTGTGGCTGGTCAGGAACTCACTCTGTAGACCAGGCTGGTCTCGAATCTCTGCTGCCTGAGTGCTGAGGTTAAAAGCACCATACTCAAATTCCTAAAATACTAACTTTTTTTTTTTTTTTTTTTTTTTGAGACAGAGTTTCCCTATGTAGCCCTGGCTGTCCTGGAACTCATTCTGTACACCAGAAAAATATCAACTCTTAAATACTATAATATTTGCCCAACTCTGTTTATCCTAACAACTCTTAATCTAGTAAAATTATAAACATTTGTATCAGATAGAGATAATTTAAAAACATTTGACAGAGAGACAGTTGAAAAATTATCACAACATTCGGGAAGCAAAGGCAGGTGAATCTCTGTGAATTACAGGTCACCATGGTCTACAGAGTGAGTTCCAGGACATCCATGGCTATACAGAGAAACTCTGTCTTGAAAAAAAATTTTAAAAATTAAAAATAAAAATAAAAAATTATCCCTAATTTAGACTCAAACTAAGTAAATACATGTAAATCCTGCTTAAATTCTTTTTTTTTAAATATTTATTTATTATTATGTGTGCAATATTCTGTCTGTGTGGATGCCTGCAGGCCAGAAGAGGGCACCAGACTCTATAACAGATGGTTGTGAGCCACCATGTGGTTGCTGGGAATTGAACTCAGGACCTTTGGTTGAGCAGGCAATGCTCTTAACCACTGAGCCATCTCTCCAGCCCCCCTGCTTAAATTCTTTAACTTCCAGTGTACACTAACAAACTACCCACAACTCTACAAACTGAATCCCAATACCATTGTCAACCAATAAAATTCTATATGGTTACCCAGTTATGTATCCCAACAAAGACAGCTTTCTCTAGTATAGAAAAAAAGGTAGTTCACGTCTCTTGGATTGAAAAAAAGAAGCTAAATTAGGACCGTGGTTACAAACAGTACCTATTCCCTATTTCTTAGAACTAATTGTTGAGCAGGGCAGTGATGGCACACACCTTTAATCTCAGTATTCGGGAGGGAGAGAATACTGGAGGGAGAGAATCACAGGCAGAGGATCTCTGAGTTCAAGACGGGCCTGGTATACAGAGTTCCAGGTTCCAAAGCTACAGAGAAATCCTGTTTTGGGATTTAAAAAAAAAAAAACCTGTTACCCACAAAATACCTACATATTCCAGGTTAAACATGGAATGCAGCATTCCTGCCCCCATCATCTGAACAATTAGATACAAATACCCTACACAACCTTAGCTAAGCATTATTCATAAGAAATGTTTCTTTTCATAAATATATGTATACATATAGATATATAGAAATAAAAAATGTTTTAGAATTGACCTATTGTTACTTCCAACAGTTTTCCTACAGTCCTTTTATTCTATCAGCCCTAACTTCTCTATGAATATTCCTATTTCTCATTTCTCTGTGTGTGCACATGTGTGTGTGTGTGTGTGTGAGAGAGAGAGAGAGAGAGAGAGAGAGAGAGAGAGAGACGCTATTTTCAGGCATCCACAGAGTTATAGGCAGCTCTAAGCTGCCAGACACAAGTAACTCAGGTCCTCCGGAAAAGCAGCAAGTGCTCTTAACCACCAAGTCAATCTCTCCAGCCCCATCTACATATTTTTTAAACTCAATCTTTATGAATGGCCATCTGAAAGTGCATATCCCCATTAGTGTTATTTAATGTATCTATTTTTGCATTCATATTATTATATACCTACAACCTTCCTCCTCTATCACTAAGGTGAATACTGTCTTTCTGTATACAGCAAATTAACAGGAAAACTTTTTTCTTTTTTTTTTTGTTTTTTGGTTTTTGGGTTGTTTTTGGTTTTTCGAGACAGGGTTTGTCTGCAGCTTTGGAGCTTGTCCTGGAAAGACAGGATTTCTCTGTGTAGCTTTGGAGCCTGTCCTGGAACTCTCTGTAGAACAGGCTGTCTTTGAACTCACAGAGATCCACCTGCCTCTGCCTCTAGAGTGCTGAGATTAAAGGAGCACAGCACCACTGCCCAAACTCTGACACACATTATTGTTCTGGAACATGGCCTCCAGACAGAACAACCATCCCAACTAAACTGTCTATCCAAAACACTTAACACTTTTGCTAATAAAATTTTTTGTAAAAATCCTAACACCGGTTGGAGAAAAAGCTCATCCTGTAAGAGAACTTGCTGCTCTTCCAGAGGACCAGAGCTCCATTCTCAACACCCAAGTCAAGAGACTCACAAGCACCTGTAACTACAGCTCCAGGGGACCCATATTGTCTTTTTTACCTATATGGGCACCTGTACACTCATGTCAAATACTCAAACAAACACAGTCATATACATAAATAAAAATAAAATAAACAAAAAGAAACCCACGCCTGGAGTGGTGGCTCACTCCCTTAATCCCAGCACTCTGGGGATCTCCCAAGTTCAAGTCCAGTCAGCTCTACATAGTGATTTCCTGTCCCAAAGGGAAAAAAAAAAAAAGAGAAATCCTAACATATACATAAATGAGACACCATTTATCCAAAATTAGAAATTTGCAAAACTATTAGATAATTGATTAAAAGTATAGATATGTATGAAAATGATAAAACCAAATTTAAGTATTTAAGAGAGAGGAAGAAAAGGTCAGTGAAAAGCAACTCAGGAGCCAGGGCAAACATCTGTATTTGTAATATCTTATTTCTTATGTCAAGTAGGAGAATACATGACCATTTGCAATTAAGTCCTTTCCATATTTAACACATTTTAAATGATTTTTAAAAAGAGTCAATGATTCATGAACATCTGCCTCTCTGACACAATAACAACCTGTTATATCTAAGTTGCAGTAGGTGAGCATTGCTACATCTGGGCCATCCATCCTGTCAAGCCCAGAAAAGGGAAATTTACAAGCCTACCATCTCAAACTTTCTCTTAGACATCTCTTAAATATATTACAGGTTTTCATGCTGTAACTATACATAACTAGTTCTTTCACAAGTCAACAAAGATTAACGTCTCTAATTTCATCTTTATATCACTAAATTGCCATTTATTCTTATGCCTTATTACTCACACAATAAGCTTACCCCTGTAAGTCTGTGTAAAATACCGCAAAGTGAATGGTAGAACACATAACTACTTCCATTTGGTTAAATGCACTTAGATACAGTTTATCTCTATGCAAGAGTTTAAACCCACTGATAAACGAACTTCTCCATTTTAATCTTTAACATCAAAATTAAGACACCATATATCCACAAATGAAATGGCATCTCAGCAATAACTTAGGGCAATCGATCCCAAGTCTGTCCCCTGAACAAGTTTTGACCTCATGCATCCTGAAAGTCCTATTCCTGAACCGACGTTTACACCACCCAGAAGTACTCTTCCCCCCAAAGTGGAGAAGATTCAGACAGCCTCCCAACTACCAATTTCTAGCTCTCTGTGGTGAAACTAGTTGAAAGGGCCTGAAGTTTCACGGATTTACAAGGGGCCTATACTTCTTGACCCTGGAAAGGTGGGAGCCCAGAGCTAAGGGGCCCTGTCTAACCTTCTTTGCACTCTGCGAGTCCCGCAGACGTCCACGCAACAGTTCAGACAGCTGGCCCTCCCCACCCCCACCCACCCCCATCCGGACGCACTCCAGAGGGCACCGCACTTGCGAGGACCGGAGAACAGGCGACGAGCCGCTATTCCCCGGGAAGGGAGGGCTCGACAGCCGAGAGCTCCACTGCCAGCTCGGAAGCTTCCCGCCCCTTGCCTCCGGCTACCCACCTCTCCCGCCACAGCGAAGTCTACCAGCCCTTCCCTTCTGGTCCAGCCCCGAGCTGCTCCAAAACCTCGTCCAAGAGCTCAGCGAGAGACCGGCCCTCTCCGGCGCCGACCTCCTGAGGCCTCCTCACCTCAGGGCCAGGTCGGTCCAGGCGCACAAGGCCCGGAAAGCAACTCGCGGCGCACCCCGCCTCACCGGGCCCTCGCCCCCAAACGCTGGGCTAAACAGAGAGTCCGAAGGTCCTCCGCCGTAGCTTCCGGGCCGTAGTGCCATCACCGGCCCTCCCGCTTCCCTCTGCCCTCCAGAGGCCGAGCCCCGGGTCTGAGTGGCTTCGTCGCCCAGCATCCCGACCGCCCGACTCCGCCCGCGACCGACCCAGCCCCCGCCCGGCGTGCCGCACTCACCGCTGAGCGCCGAGGCCTGAAGGGTAGCCCCAGACGTGCCGTCGATGACTTTGATGGTCCCGCGGCTGGTGACGGCCAGGATGGCGTTGAGAGCCGGGTGGTAGGAGAGGCTGTGCAGCCCGTCGGCGTCGCAGCGCATGCACCCATCCCGCAGCACCAGCCACTCGGAGACCCCGGCCGCCCCCGCCCCTGCCGCCGCCGCCGCGGAGGAG